ATTTATTTTGACCACCACTTATCGCTAAAGTCATCTATAGGAAAACGGCGGAAGCAAAGTTGTACATCTAATATGTATGTTTATACACATTCATGTTTGTACATATTCATGCATGAAAAATTTTTTATTGGATATTTTTTTTCATATTTTTATGTATTATATTTTAATGTATACTAGTACATAATATCATATATATATAATTTTATGATACAGAATAATTGCAGAAGTTAAATTACAAAGATAAATGTAATCTATTATATAATTCCAATCGAAAATAAGAAATATATTCATTAAGTAAACTATAATCTTTTGACAGTTACATATTGCGTTTCTTAGGTTAGAAAAATATTCTAAAAAATAATACAATATATATAGAACAGATCGCCATTACTGTGTTTGCCATAATTATTTTATTATATTTCTTAATTAAAAGTTAAAAATAAAACTTTGAAAATACAAACTGAAGTATCTTCTATAAAAAGTATCTTTTATAATCTATCAGATGATAATTTAACAGATTTTATATTTACGGATTGTAAATTGCTAATATTTGCGCCTTTATGATAAAAAATAAATTACAAAAGATAAATTATTTCTTTTTCACTCAATAGTTCATTATTTTTAATTAATTTATATTATACTTCTTTTAAAAAATATTTGTAATTTTATAATTTATAGAATATAATATATAGAGCTTTCTACGAGGCGTGATCTAATCGTAACATCAACATTAATTTTTTATATTAAGAAAATTAATAAATAAAGATGTATTAATTTTATTTGTACATGCTATTAAATATTAGGTACATTTAATATAGTATATAGTTCAATGTAAAATTCCGTTACTTTCATCAAAAGAATTATGATATGTATAATAGCTTATTATTATTGAAATTTGTTTAAGCGTCCCATCTAGCAGAATTAATTCAACTAATTGAACTCGTATTTATTTTCTTGAATTCTTTATGAATTAACATAATCTAGTCAAAATTAATTCAAAAAGATTTTAAGAATATATACAAATATTACAGAATATATACAAATAAAAATAATCTTATAATGACTCAAAATAATAAACAATAAATAATAAGAAGGAGCTATAAACCAGATTTTTATGTATTTCAAATTCTTAGAACATACGTTTCGACTCTATTATTAGGTGTCATCCTCAGTGTAAAGAAATTAAACGCAAATTTGACAAAATTAATAAAACGTTTAAAATTATATAATTTATAGTTACGCAAAAAGTAGATAGTATTTATTCTATCTATTTTCCGCAAAATGCAATGCTTTTCGTTCTCATAATATTATCGGTTATATTCTTCCATTATAACAGTCGCAATAAGTCCATAATGATAAAAACATAATGATATTAACATAATAAGTCATTAAATAAAAATGTACCAGTACACATTCTGTTATCAAATTAATAAAATAGATTATAAAAATTAAAATAACAATGAATAAATAATCGTTATATTCAAAATTATTAATATATTATATACAATCCTTATTTTAATAGATAACTATCTTAAAGTGTGTGTTAATAAATAATAATAGGAGGGGGAAGGATTCTATAAGACTACCAAGCGATGGAGCTATCTTTCCCCTCCTTGCGCGCCGCCGCCGCCACCGCTATCGAGTATGAACCTACAAATTCACGCGGCGCGGCTTCACCGCACATTGGCTTAGACATTTCCTTTTTTAATTCGAAAACTACAGCGAATATTTCAAAAATGGTATCAGATTTTTATTTTTTATTTTTTAATTTTTTACTCCCCTTGACCCATTCTCCGCCCCCAATGCTCCGATCTTATTTCTGAAACACCCTCTGTGTGTGTGTGTGTGTGTGTGTGTGTGTGTGTGTATAAAGTAAAGCAACTATATATTTACGCGACATATATCACGATATGTACTCATACTAATTTGTTGTTATCGTTAAAAATTATACCAATGCACAACTATCTGAAAATGTCAAAAGATATATATCGCGAATAAATAAATTTGTTTTTTATAACTAAACTATATACACTTAAAAAAATAGCTATGTATGTAAGTAAAATAGCTATATATATGTTTAAAATTTAGTGAAAGTCAACGAAAATTCTAATGCAATTTAATGCAACGATAAAAACAAATCTAATTTATATATTAGAGAACGCAGAAGAATCCCTACTTTTATTGATATGTAGGATATTGATATGAAATGAGCTTGCCTTTGTGATTGCGGTGAACAGAATAACAGAGATCATCGAATTCGATGTATATTTGCGAATTCCGCAACTTCTCAAGGTCTAATAATTTTTCCGATTCCTGCACATGGATCTTGCAATCGCTGTTCAACATCCTCGCTGCATCTTTATCGTTTACTTCCAGCATCTTGCTAAACACTTCATAAAATTAGCTTGTTCAATGATTAGATGAAGAATTGGCTTTTACACTGTAAGTGAATGTATGTGAATATCTCACATTGTACTTCCTCTTAAGAACATATTCTTGAAATAATTTTTAGAAAATCCTAACACGAAAATATCGAGACTACATCAACACACAATCATTTTTTGAATTATAACCTAACTTTAAATATTTATAAGTCAAAAAATCATTTTACTTTTATAGCCTCTATTGTTATTTCTAGATTTTTTTTGAATATTCTAAGACGAAAATCCTAATATAAAAATATCGAGACTATAATAGTTTTCGAATTACACTCTATCTTTAACCAATTATAATGCAAAAACTATTGTAGCCCCGCTATTTTTTGCATTAGGATTTTCGTTTCAAAATTATCTTAAGAATATGTATGTTCTTAAGAAGAAGTACGATAGTTGTGAAGCACCGTGCGTTGAATACACCTTATCAATCATATATTACCGATTATAGCTTTACACTTTGATTTTATGCGTAATTGATTTCTTATTGCTGATTATAAACGTATAACAAAAAAATCACACTTTCATTTTCACAATGCGTGAATGTTGTGTTTGGAAAGTGTATCACAGAGTGAGTTACATACACATTGAGTTCTCAATTGCTACTGACATTGGATGTTCTACTAGTCACTATCAAGTAATACTATCGCACTTTAAATGATAAAATGATATCTCTCTAACATTATTACCCAACGACTGTATGATGAATAATGATCTTTTAAGCAATATAAATTATACATTGAATATAACCGTGAGATTTTTTTAAGGTGTATTTGTACATGCATTACTCAACAAAATATAGGGAAACAAATAGATATATCTTAAATTTTATCTTAAAATTTTTATATAGAAACATGATTTGAAGCATTCGAAAGTTACAGTTTTAAGCTTTAAAATGTTTTTTCAAACATCGCTTCGTAATTATTTGTTATGCCATTAATCGAGTTTGAAATCCAAAGAATACCAGGAGACAAATTAAGCAAATACACTCGCTACACTAGGTTTGTTTTAAGAAAAAATAAATTTCTTTTCTTTTAGAAAATAAAATCTTTATTTTAACATTTCTTGCACGAGTCTTAATTTCTTACACTTTAACGCTGCTTCGCACTGTAGATGTATTCTGGTATTACGAACGGATAGAGTTACGCAACTTTTTAAAGTTTTAAAGAAAACAGATTGACTGCCGCGGCGCCGCCTGTCTTATATATATATATATATACACACACACACACACACACACACACACGTCTCCAAGTTACCTCTTATTTCTGTTGATTATTTTTGCAAAATCAGCGCTTAAGTCCGTGGCTCATACAAAAATGTAAGACAATAAAATATAAGCAGTAAGGAAATCATAAGGCTTATGGCACACAAAAAACTTAAACAAAAATGTGAATAGTAAGGAAATTAATTAATCACAGCAGAATCCGTAAGGACTGCTATAATATAAGCAGTAATCAATCCAATATATTGATTTCCTTACTGCTTATACGTTACTGCCTTACTGCCTTAAGTTGTTTGTGTGTCGTGACCTTAACGTTGGATTTGATCTTACTGTGATTAGCCAATTTGCTTACTGCTTACGTATTACTGCCTTACGTTTTGTATGTACCATGGGTACACAAATTTTTAGGGTACACACAAATTTGCATAGCTGCATAAACAGGATTAAATAGTAACTAGTTAAAACATTAAAAATTAAAAAAAAGTTACAAAGTTAATAACTTTTAACTTAACTTAGTTAATTTTAAATGCATTAATTTAATTTATTAGTTATGTTTAAACTTTAATTTATTAACTTTTTTAATTAAACACTTTTTATATTTTTTAATGACAATATTTTTTCTATAAAATCTTAAACATTAGAGAATTTAAAAAAACTCAATGATTTTGTGAGATTCTATAATAAAAGTCACACCATACGACAATCAATTTTGATTGGCTTGCTAGGTTTTGTCAATTCATTACATTATTAATAAATAAATATTAATAATAACATTTTAGAATTCGCAAGTAACGCAAATTAACAAAATCACAAGTATTGTGTTTCAGAAACATTCACGATGAATTTTTATTTTTCAACCTTTTTCATGTCTATGATATTGAGTAATTCTTATTGTTTATTTGAACCATTTGAAACTGTCTTGCGAACGTCTACAATCACATAGTAGATGCATGGTTCCATTTTTTAAAATAACGGTGACCTTCAAATTTTTTAAACGTCTCCACTTGGAAAACAATGTTCTCAGCATCATATGATGATATGATGTTTCTTTCAATATCAAATAATTTCTATTTTAAGCATTTCTTTCTTCTTCAAAACTATGGGTGTTATTTGGGTGGTCAGTCTTAAGTGATACACCCTATATGGCCTAGTATGGCCCAATGTAACCTACTTACTATTTGTGAATAATTATGCAATAAATTCAATAAAAATATTTATACAAGAAAGTAGTATATGCATATATGTAAAGTAGTATATCTTTCTCTCTCGTAGAATTTTGACAAAATCGCTCGTGGCTAAATTCTGTCTTTTAGTGCAGGCTGTCCATCTGACTCATTTTCATTAATTTATTATTCAGTTTAATCTGTTATTGTCAAAAAGCAAAATGCAAAACGCTGCTATATTGAAGGACTACTTAATTGATAATTTTAGTAATACTAAAGAGATTGTAAAAGCCTCTTGACGAATAAATCACTGCGGGTATGCGTACATACATGTGATAAATCTGAAATTATGTAATATACTGAAATTATATAATATATGTGTATAAATTAAGTAATATACAAGATGTCCAATAAGTTTTGATAAGCGCTCTTATGTAGATAGAGTGAATTATAATGATAATCTACCACTTTACAATTTTCACAATAGTGAACACAATAGTTAACGGGATATCATAAATATTGACGAATAAAATCAACGCATAAGACAACTTTAAGATTTCTTTCAGAGTTCTTTATGAAATATCTCAAAGATGTTTCTTAAAGAACTTTTAAAAGTATCTTAAAATGTTTTTGTTTTATACTAAATAAAAGTTTCGAAAATTGTAAAATGATAGAGAACGTTTTGATTCAGTTTAGTTCGCTCTATCTACGCACGAATGCTTTGTTAAAACTTACCAAACACTTTATATATTTCACTTGATTTCTAGATCTCGATAAAGATAGCATCAGTTTTATTCAGATTGTAATTGAAAGTTTGTGTCAATATTATATGAATAAAGTATTGCTTTATTTAAAGGATTTTTTTATTATGGTTTTAGTTATTGAGTAATTTTAATAAAAAATTTATTGATATAAAAATTCCGGATGAATACGCTAGCTATTGAATACTACGAACTTGATTAGACAGAATGTTTGATAAAACTTTCGCATAGGAATAGAGCGGATTAAATTAAGTCGAAAAGCTCTCTACATTTTACAATTTTCACAATAGTTAACAAGATATTAATTAAAAATTGTCAAATATTGGTTTTCCAACTTTTTACTCAAATATTATCAACTTATAGAAAAACAATAAGTGACAAAAATTGTTTATTTTCTTCTCATAGAGCACTGAGAATTTTTTTCAGAATTTTTTAGTACTACATTTTCTCATGTTGTTGAATCAAAAATAGTTGCCTATATAAAAAAACGCAGCACTAAAAAATTGATAAAAAATTCTAAAAAATTCTTAGAGCTCTGATGAGAACAAATAATTTTTGTCTCTTGCTGTTTTTTTATAAACTTGATAGTACTCGAGAAAAAAATCATTGAAAACCATATTTGATGATTTTTATTAATTAATATCTTGTTAATTATTGCGAAAATTGCAAAATGGTAAAGAACTTTTCGACTCAGTTCTATTCCTATGCGAGGGATTTATCGTTATCAAATCCTGTATAATGACATGGCTTTTACAGTAATGTCACATGATCGTAATAAGGTCCTGAAGCCCATTTTCGGTTTTTACTTTATATTTTTATGTCTTTAGCTTTGCGGTACTTTTGATATACTATTGTTCATAAAAATTTGAGAATACTTTTTATTGTCATCTCGAAATTAAGTAAAAAAGATCTTGAAAAAATGTGTGTAAATCGAGAACATTATAGCAAATTTTGTTCTTTCCTTTACTTTTTCTTTAAACTTTGTGTGCTGTGCAATGACAATCTAACAAGTTAAATACCACGCAATTAAAACGAATCGACCTTCGAAACTCTAAAATTCTTCGTTTCAGATTGTTTATTCACCAGTCAGACTAATTAATTTCTTGAGGCGAATAATATGGCTATGGCACGTTGATAGTCTTAAAATTTGACATTGGTACGTCAAAAATTTCAACGTGCGAGGGAGTCGGAAATTTTATCGCGAATGAAACGGAATTCTTCAAGCACGCGAACACAAACTGAAATTATATCACGAAAAGAGATTCTTACTTTCACACATATTGCGCACTTCACGCGTGAAATATTTACACTTAAGCTACACAGTAACTTAGCGATTAAACGCTGGTAATTGGTTTAATTCCATTAATGTTAAGAATCGAGAGCACAAAAGATCGGTACGAAAACAAGGAATACAAGAGAATGTAAGAAAAAAACCTGAAGAATGGAAGAGAAAACCATATCTGATCAGCAGGGCTGTTTCAAAAGTTTGTTGCGCCCAGATACAGAATATTCCGTTGCACAGGAGTGAAATGTAGGATTCTCGGACATAATCCGAAAAAAAATTTTCTGAAAACTAAAGACAGTTTTCATTTAGAAACCGTTGTGTTAGACATATATTGCACGGATATTCTCGAAAGTCATCATTATTTTATTAGTATGACTGTCTGCTACAGAAAAATTTTGTTTTTTTTTGTTTGTCTAAGTATTTTATTAATAATGGAGAGCGACGCTTATGTTGTTCCAATAGTCTGCCAACTGTTGGGAAATCTATACATTAGATGAAGAAATTGATTTGCGAAATAAGAACCTGTTATTATATAATATTATAATTCTTTCTGAGAATGATTTCTGAAAATAATTGAGAAAAAGGAGTCGAAACATCAATTTTCTATATTATGCTCGTCGAAATCAAGATTTATGTAATAAACTAAATAAACTAAATAAATATAAGATAATCACTAATAACTGCATTAATTTCTACAGCCATTATTATTATTTTTTATTAATTTAAATTTGTGAAATCCTTGCTTTCATTAAATTTAAAAATATTTACTTTTTCTTCTTTATATTTCATTGTCTTCTATTGAAAATTTTAATCACTTATTACAATACTTAATGAAGATTTTTAAAAAAATTCCTATATTTGTCTGTCCTCTAAAATTTTATGAAAGTATATTCTAAAACTGTTCATATAATTTGATAAATTCAAGTGCTATCTATGTGTTTGTTTATAAAACCTTTTTAAAAAAAGATAAAAAAGGCACCAAATGTGCATGTTTCTTTTATAAAAAATTGTTATTATTCAAGTGATAATATTTTTAATTTTTTATAAATTACACCTAGTAGTATGTAAATTATACTTGATAGTATGTATGTATGTATTGTATTTTCTTGGAACATATAATATATACTTACTGTCGTATTTTGGAATATATAA